TGCTTTTATTAACTTTTTCTTCTGTTTTAACAATATATTTAGTTAATATAGAGGGAAACGGCATATTTGAAATTATTAAAAAAAAATCTTTTGTGGCTTAGCGCAGACCGGCGGACATTGTCTCGAACAACTTAAAAATGGTGGACATGTCCCGATTGACAATGGTAATACGGGACATGTGATCAGATGAAAATCCTGGACATGTTCCGGAATGTCTGTATCCGCTCAATTTTGGCGGACAGTGTCCGGTGTACAACACTGCTGTAACAATATGCATCCTTGATTAATATCAATATTAGAAATATAAATTTATTATTATTAAATTTCTTTTGTTAAGAGGATTCTAATAAATCTAAGATTTTAAAGCTAATTACTAGTTAATTTAAAAATAAGGACATATAGGATAACAAAATTTAAAATCTTTTATAATACATAAATCTGCATAATTTATATATAAACTTTATATAAACTCCTAATTTGAGTTATAAGAAATTAGCACATCTAACTCATTTTATAAAATATGAGTCTTTATTATAAATTACACTGTAATAAATCCTAATACAGCATCAGTTAAATGCAAATTATAATATTAATTTACTACAGATTTTATTGGTTAAATTTTAGGATTAAAATTTATAAATATAAAATATATGCAAATTATATATATGAATAGATCACAAATTTGTAGAATATGATGACCTTTAAAGTTATTATGTGATGACATTAGTCTTAAGTCTTTCTGTTCACAGGTAGAGATTATAGTTAGTGAACTTATTTAAATTATTATAAAAGATAGAACCTATAGTATAATGAAGAATAACCTGTTATAGACAAGTACTATATTATCTACATAGAATTAGTCTTAAGATAGTATCTAATAATAGACATATGAAATGATAGTCTAAGTTATAAATATTTCAAGTAGTTGATCTTGCATTATCTTCAGCTATAATGTGTTTAGACCTTATATTAAGGAGGAAGGTTAAGTTCAATTTTAAGTTATTTGATAATATAGTGAGTTTGGTTATTTTTTAAACCAGGAATAGAGTATCTTACTTAATCCTTTATTTAGTAGTATAGCTGAATACCTAATAATGTCAAGGTATTATCTGTTAGTCTATGGAGATTTTTAGTTAAGATTTTATTATAAATATGATATCTATTAAACTAGTTATTGAATATACTTAACATGATTAAAATAGACTATAATGAATAGTAAGTAGGCAAAATTATCATAATTCAGAATTTAATTTGATGTTATTCATTAATAAATAATCAAATTTATAGTTAAATCAAGAATTAAAAAAAAAATCTAAATTATATAAGAAAGTTTCAGAATTCTGCTCAAAGTTAAAAACAATTCAATTTTTTTCTATTTCAGCAAAATTATAAATAGTATAATACTAAAACTAAATATTATCAAATATAAAATTAACTTAATATAAGTAGAAGGAAGGTGAAGAAGTTAATTAATTTAATAGATTAGACAATTACTAAAGATTTAATTTATTATTATAATATTAATTTTCTAACATATTTGCTAAATATTCCAGTTTATAATACAAAGTTTTTAACTTTTTAATAAGATTTTTAACTAAATTTAGTAATAGAGATAAATAAAAAAATTATAGAACTGATTCTTGATATCTCATCTGATAATTAAACGGGTATACAAGGATATTTTTATACTATATTTTAATATCTTATTTGATAATTAAGCTATTATAAAAGGTCAGTAACTTAATATGAAATCTATTATGTAAATAAAAATAGAAAGTTAATATTTTTAATGAATTTAATGATTAAATAATTTAAAATAAAAAGAAAAATATGGTAGTTAAATTAAAGAGTAGATGGTAATTAAATTATAAGATAATAATAAAATCATATTATAAATCATAAATATCAAGAAAGATTTAAAAAAATAATTAAATATAAAAAGAGATAATTGATAAAAGAAGAAAGTAGATTATAAGGTGATATTTAAATTATATTTATTAGATTATGATTAAATATAGATATTTATTAGATTATAAAGTAATAATCAGATTATATAATAAGACTATAATAGAATATTATTATGTAATATAATTATATTACATGATGATATTCTATTGAAAAAAAACTTAAAACTTATTTTACTTAAAGTAAAAAATTATTTTTTTAATTATTTTTTAGTAATTGTTTTCTTTTTATTTTAAAATACTTATATTATATATTTATAGTTAATTTTTTGTAAAATCTGAATTTAACAATAATTTTAAAACTTTTTTCTAATATAAAATTAATTAATTAAATATAATTTTTTAATATTAAAATAAATATTTTAATATATATATAAGTTAATTTAAAAGAGAAAAGTAAAATTTATTTAAATATATATTTAATAGATTTAATAGATTTTTTAATTATAATAAAAAATTTAAATTATTTTGTAAATTAATTATTCTTTATGGTAAAATTTATAAGTTATTAAATTATTATAATTTATTAAGAAATTTTATGTTTATTAATAATAAAGTGATTTAATTAGTTAACAACACTATTGAATTTTAATAAAAATTTTTTATAATTTAATTAAGTTATTATAAAACCAAATATTCTAATAGAGTTAATAAAATATATATTAATCTAACTATGTTTTAATATAATTATGGTTTTTGTGCAATCCTTTATGCAAAATTACATCACGTTACGAATGTGTAATAACCTTACGACGAAAAATATTTCCTGATATAGGTTATAATAGTAAATAAATACGTATTATGATTTTTATAAAGTTGATCCGATTTAGATAAAATAGTATATAGTTTCAAAATTTTTAGCAAAAACTGTTTTCGTAGAGATTCCTAAAGCGGAAAAGAATTTTTACCTCCGGAAAATCTATTCTTTTGCTTTTTTTATATCAAAAAGTCACCAATTAAAAAAAAGAATACAGGTTTTATTTGGAAATAATTGGTACGGAAAATCGAGGATGATTTATGGATTGTTGGCAAAATAAGTGCATAATGCTGTTTGACCAATCACTCTCATTTAGTAATGAATTCTTTTTAAATGGTTATTCAACTTTTCTATCCTGCATCCAAACAGTTTTCTCTTCTCATTATATAAAGTCGTTTCTTTCTTTTATTTTCTTCATTTGCCATCAAAACACCTCATAATAAAGCAACCATCCAACCTTATTACACTCACTTTTATAACTCTAACCAAACCTTCTCTCTTCCATTTCCAATAAATTACCAAAATGTTGTCTTCCACAAGAACGGTTATTGATAATAGTTCTGGCTTTGGTCCAAGCTTATTACAAGTTATTGATAGTACGGAGGGTTACCAACTACCAAATACAACGTTAGAAATCCCTGCACCAGAGTCATTTTGCTTGCCTCCCATATACGAATTAGACATTTCGGTTCCGCACTTTGTATTGAGGCGTCGTAACGCTATAGTAGAAGCTGTATTGGAAACTCCACTCGTTTACTAAAAACTTCTTTCATACAGTAAGTTTTATTATTTCAACCGTTATTAAATAGAATTACCTTAAACTACTTAACTAATAATTTATTATTTTATATATATTATATAATATTAGTATTGAACCATTTCAACAAAAAAAAAAAAAAAAAAAATTTCAAAATTCAAAATTCAAAAAAATAATTATTTATTATGTTAAAGGCGTATATACTTATAGAATTTCCTTTAATTATTTTAATCATATAATTCCGCTGTTTATATTTTCCAAATTTTATCTCTTTTTATTACGTTTGTTAAATATATATATTATTTTGTATTATCAATTAACTATAGAAGTACATAGTTCTTTGTTTATTCTTATTTCCTATTAGGAGTAACTATTTTACTTTTCATTAGTTATCAAATTCAAACATTTTTGATATCATAATGCTCTCTTCCTTCATAACTTCTTTTTTTTTTTTAACTTGATCTTTGTTAGTCGAACGGCCGGCCGTCTTGATTAATGATTTTTGGGTCATTTGGTCGAATTTCAAATAAAGATCGAATTGTGTGATTAATGTTTATCGCTAAATTTAACTCTTATTTTGTTGCGTATCTGGAAACTTTGTTTTGTTCGATTCTGAATTAAATTATTAAGCACAACTTTCAATTGCCTCAAAAAGATTTTTATTATAGTAAACTAGATTCCATGACTTGACGTGATAAATTCCTTTCAATATTTGTTTTAATTTATAATGTAACGTAAGAAAAAAATTCTTTTTCTTTAGAAATAATAAAGTATTGAATAAAATAATATTTATATATATTTTTTTTTGTCCTTGTTCCATCTTTCAATTAAAAAAAATATCCATTACAGGATAGGAATGGACTGAACGATGCGAAAAACGCGGCGTCCTCTTGCCAGTTTGGTTCATTGCCATTGTAGTATCTGTGATAGACGGATTCACATCCTTCCACAAGCTTTCGGATAACTGTTTCTTTGTTGTCCTCTTGGTCTTTTAGTTCTTCAGATCCTGCAGAAAGTCCTGTGTATTCAAATGTTACGTTAATTAAGTAATGTTGATAAACTGAGTTTTGGGTTATTTTAAAATAATTTTTACCCTTGGCCCTATTATCATTGTTTATTTTTTCTGTCACCTTATTCACGTTTTCCATTATTCTTTCAACTTTAACCTTTTTTTTTGAAGGCGCGGTCTCTCCTCTTCTTGGTTGAGCGATTTGAACCGTTGCTTCAATATTATTTCTAGCTCGTGGTAACTTCTCTCGAACTTTTTGTGTTGCGCTTCCATTTTTATGGTGGGTGGAATTTGTGGTGTTGGGCGTTATTTCATTTTCGTCTGACCTTGCTCTCTTGTAAGCGTTCTTTGTTTCATTACCCGGAGGTTTGAAATGTCCATTTACGAAATAACGTTCGAATATGGGATCAACTGTCCAATATCCCCCCTTTCCGGTGGCTCCTTCGCCACGTGAGGCCCTCACAAACGCTGCATTCAAGGAGAGATTGTGTCGAATTGAATTCTATATATGTTATGAAGGTTATGGAAATATATATATACACACATATATATATTTATAAATAAAGTAAATTAAATAAATTCATCATCAATAAATAAATAAATGAATGAATGAACTACCTTCCAACCTTGTTGATTCCTCTTAAAGAATGGATAAGTGGTACATATCCATTCATATATCTCTGATAGGGTGGATTTCTTTTCAGACGATGCAAAGATCGCTTGACAGATCATTGAGGCGTACGAATATTCGGGTTTTGGTGCAAGCATTTCTTCTTCCATACCTATCATTTTGTTGGTCGTTTGCATTAGGACTTGTGAAGGTCCCTGAACAACGAACCCTCTTGTCCCCTCTAACTTGGGCAATAATATCTTGTTACCGCTTTTCATCATTTTGATTCCCTCGTCGTCGATGGTTTTGAGTTGTGTTTGTCCGGGTACAAAATAACTTGTTCCTCTTATTAAAGGCATTGACTCCTGTGGATCTTCTGGGATGACAACCGCTGACATAACGATACCTCTTGAAGTTTTCGGAACATTCATATTACTTTTTTCTGCATTTGAAACTTCGGAGTTGATACTATTCGAGGTACATTTAATACTTTTAGGAGGAGAATGTAACGCGATCTGATTCAATTTACCATTCATAGCATTCATGGTGTATTGTATATTAAAACTATTCATATTTTCATCATTGTTATTAGGATTCGGTACTTTAATGGTATCGGCTTGAACCTTTGGGGTTTGAATTTTAGTGTTATTAGCGTTATTATAGTTCATCGTTTAAAATTAAAGGAATAATAATAATTGATTATATTATATTAGGTTTTTTTTTTTTTTTTTTTTTTTTTGAAAAAACTTTTGCGAGTCCAAGGGTTTATATATGATGGGTGAGAGAAATAAAAAACGCGGGGGAAGAGTTTGTTTACAAAATCTGCCTCTTAACTAAAAATAGTAATCACGTTTTCAAGTTTGCTGAAATTGGTAAAATCATCCATTTTGGGAATTAATCACAACGCGAAAAAAAAAAAAAAAATAACGCGTGCAAGATTAATTATTTTCAATACCAAAGACCGATCTCCGGTTACACGAGATATATAGATACCGAAAAATTTTTAATAAACGCGACAAATGGTAACACGAAATCTAATTATAGGAACCAACTTGATATATTTCACGTGATCTCTGATATTCCACAAGCATTCGGGGGGGGGGTATTTAAAAAAAAACATTTTTATCTTTTGAATATCAGTGGAATTAGAAATTAAATCATCATGGATCCTACGTCTCGTTCACCACCTAGAGAACTACAAGATCTTTCTGCTCATTCCGGTTATTCACAGCAGCGTCCACCTCCCGTGAACGCACATCAATTACCTCAATTACACATGGTCCCACCTTATCGTCCACTTCTTCCTTCCGGTTGGACTGAACATCGTGCACCAAATGGCATGTTTTATTATTATAACGCTGCAACAGGCCAAAGTACTTGGGAGAGACCTATATTGGTTCCTCCTCCTCCTCCGATCGGTCCACCTCCTGGAACTTTGCCACATTCATTTCAACCGGTCCCGGGAATGATGTCACAGCAAATGCAAAATGTGCCACCACTGCAACAAAAGGAGAGAAGAAAGGAGAAAAAGAAAAAAGAAAAAGCAAAGGGAAAGTCAGTATATTATCTGGATCTTGTTCGCTTTGCTTCTTCATTTATATTTTTATTGAAGTTTATCAATGTTTAGGAGACAAATTCCAGATACAAAATGGTACATTGTTGCTACAACAGAAAGCAGAGAGTTTTATTATAATTCTGAAACTAAAAAATCGGTTTGGGAAGTTCCCGAAGAAATTGAAGAAGCTGTCAAGAATTTTAAAGAGCAAGAAGAAAAGGATGCTCAAAGATCAAATGAAAGTACAGGATTAAAAAGGAAGGCAAATGATGAGGAAGTAACTGGCAGCGAGGAATTCAAAAGAGCGAAAGGAAGTACGGATGGTGGTGAAATTGAAGGAACCGAGTTAGTATCTTGTCATATTTCTTAATTGTTTGGATATGGAAAACTTCAAGGACATAAAAATCTTATTTCATGCGTTTTAGATTGACAGAAGACGATATCGCTTTTCAACTTCAGTTCATAGAAGAACAAGAGCATCAAGAATCCATGGATGATGATTCAGAAGATCATGATGATGATCATGAGTATATGGGTGAAGAGGAAAATTCCTTATTAAAAAAGAGGGATAAAGGAAAAGAAGTAGAATTATCCTCCGAGGAATGCGTACTTTTGTTTAAGGTAATACAAGAAAGTTCTCGGATGTAAATTTATTATTATCTATTTTTGAGTTGAAAGATAATAGTCTTTTTTTTTTTACCTTTTAGAGCTTACTTAAAGATATGGAAGTTTCACCATTTGCCACTTGGGACAAAGAACTTCCGAGAATTATTCATGATGAAAGATATAAATGTAAGTCAGTAGCAATTATATGACATTTTAAGAGAACATATTTTAAAACTAATACCTTTTACCATGATCTTCTTAAAGTAATACCAACTTTGAAACAAAAAAAGGAAATATTTGACGAATACTGTAAAGAACGTGTAATAGAAATAAGGTCAGAAAAGAAAAACAAGGCAAGAATGATAAATATCATTACATTATATTTTTATCAATTTCATATTTTTGTGAATGATAGTTAATGCTTATGAACAATGTCATTAGAATTTATCTGCGAAAGATGAGTATCTAAGATTACTAGAAGAAGAAACTACCTATCGTTCTCATTGGGACACTTTTAGGAGAAAGTTTAAACGTGATTCAAGGTTTAAGGGGTTTTCTGACGATAAAGAAAAGGAAAAGATATTCAGAGTACATGTCAAAGAATTGAAGGAAAAAGAAACCGAACGTGAGAATATTTAATACGCAATTCATTTTGCTTGTTTTTCATGTTTATATTCAACGCTTAATATGCTTTTTCCTTTCGTTAACCAGGTAAGAGGGAACAGCAAAAAAAAGCCGAAGAAGACTTTATAAGATTATTGAAAGAGGCAAGAGAGATAAAATATGACTCTAGTTGGCGAAAGGTATTAATAGATAAACTCTCTAGGATAGGGATTCTAATTTTCAGATATGTTAATCGTTATTTATTATTATTTGCAGGTTAAACGGATAATTGATCATGATACAAGGTATCACGCTGTAGAATCTTCTATTACACGTGAAAGTTTATTTAGAGATTATTGCAGAAAACTGGAAGCTGAAGATGAAGAAGAGATGATTAGGAGGGAGAATGAACGCAAACAGAGAGATCGTAAAGCAAGGTATGAATTTATTGCACCATATTTACCTTTTTTTTAATTGAATTTGCCGAATTAGAAATTTTATTAAAAAATTAAGTAAAATATTCCTCTTTATTATTAAGAGAGGAGACAAGCTTGAGAAATCGAGAAGCTCAAGTTAGATGGGAGAAGAAGATTCAAAATCGCGAAAAAGACAATGCAAAAAATAAAGTTATGCGCGTTGAATCAATACGCGAATTTCAAACACTTTTGATAGATTTAGTGCGAACTCATGAGGTAATTGAATAAAGATATACCAATCTATTATTTTGATTAACTTAAACTGTATAAAATTTTCCAGACTACTTTTGAATTGAAGAAACCCGATTTACAGAGGGATTCGCGTTTTCATGGACCTGGCCTCGAAGACAAAGATCGAGAGAGATTGTTTCAAGAACATATTAATGATATCTATCAAAAACGATTGAAATCATATTACCAGCTACTTGACCAACATGTTCAGCTAGATACTACCTGGTTAGAGATTCAGTCGGTAATTATTGATGATTTACGTTCTGTCCGACTTTCGAAAGATGAGTCGTTATTAGAAAGATTATTTGATAGCTATTTAGCTGAAAGAATTGAATTGGCTAAAAAAGAATTTATGGAACTTTTGCGAGAAAACCAATTTGTTGAATATAGAACGCGAATGGTTAAATTATCAGAGGATGGCGCAACTGATGAGACTGGAGCTAGTAAAGAGAAAGCACGTGCATTATCTATAGAAGAAATCCATGATGTACTTAAGGTATATAAATTTTCCAAATACATCAAATTTTGCGAACTTATCCTTTTCTTTAATACTATGATTGATTGATTTATAGGACGATAAACGTTATCTTGTATTAAGTTCTATGCCGGATATCCGCAACGAACTGATTACGGATTATTTGGATAAATTGGAAACGCCAAAAATGACGGTGCATCAAGGTCGAGAATAACAACACTGTAAAATAGATAGTATTAAATTAACTTTATTTACAAATAATAGTTCTATGTTCAATAACGATAAATTAACATCCGGATATTCTGAATTCATTCTCGCAAATTTTCTATTATAAATTAAAAAAAAAAAAAATCTTTTTTCTATTTTGAAAATAAAACAAAAATGTCTGTAAAATGATCTATTTCTTTAGTATAACCAGAATTTTTATCAGTCACTTTTAAACCACCAACTCTTTGCAACCCAGGACTTAATGGGAAAAATTCTAAAGAAAATTCAACAAAAGAATCTGATGATAATTCACCCAAATTCGTTACAGAAGGACCACTAAGTAATACAGAACCCATTTTAGTCTTAACTGCTGTTATCACAACTTTTAAAGTAGATGATGTTCGATTCCTTATTCGACATCCTAATTTAAACGGAACCTCGAGTTCTATCAAAGGTGGAACGGATGTTACGGAAAGTTCGATCTCATCCAACGCCGGAGGTTTACGTGTCAATTGACTTGTTTGTAAACGCCCAGTTTCACCATGGTTTGAACGCCAGACAATATCAAGTTTTCCAAGAGCATTTGTCGTCCGACCAAGTTTATCATCTATCTCGGGTTTTGGGGTTAACATATATAAGTATTGACGAATATCTTGCGGGTTTAAATAACTGTTCTCTCCAAAAATACTTTCTTGTTCTATTGATACCTTTGTTGACTTGACATCTTCTTTTTTAACGTTCAAATCTTCATTATTTTGATCTTCATTATTTTCAGTATCTTCAATATTAGATTCTTTATTGATTTTCTCATTAAAATTTCCATTAACTTTTACAAGTTCTTTCTCTTCTATTTCTTCATCGGATATCACATAATTTAAATCTTGATAATTAAAAACATCACCGGGTTCAAAACCCATCTTCTCCAAATACATTAATCTCTCTGCTACGTTTTGAATCTGAACTTCCAGAAACACCGTTCCATCTCCCATATTATTAACTTTAGTTTTTACTGCGAAAGGATTCAAAACTCGAAATCTGTAAAACTTTCTAAAGCTCCTTTTAACCCCTTCATCTGTTGTATATTGAACCATACATACTAAGTTATGTAAACCCAACTCTTTGATCTCATGCCTTATCACAAATTCACATGCTTTAAGTGGTTCAGCAATTGGAATCGGTTTGGAAGAAGTATCCGCCAATTGTAACCGTTGTGAACTCGTTTGAAGTTCGGCCTTAATACCGATATTGCGTGCAACAAAAGTTGAATCATTGTTTACAATAAGGTAACTGTCAAAAGTTGCACCTAAATAAATATTATCAATCGAGTTAGAAGATATTGAGGATGGAGACAAAAATTCGCTTTCGCTAAGGTCACTCATGTAAATTCTTGAAGGTGACACTTTTGAATCCAAGGTTTCCGCCTGTGACCTATTCCCGGCTTCTTTGCTTGTTAAAGAATTTGCTTGTCTCATAACTCTTAGAGATAACAAATGTAGAGGCTCGCGTGGATGATCTATAATAATGTTGGAATTACCGCTAATTGCAGACATTATGAGCTAATCTTACGAAACAAAAAAAAAAAAAAAAATGTGTATGAAAAGAAACTTTTAATCTGCAGATCAAATAAATAAGTATTCGAGTTCTGTGAAACTTTAGTAAGTGAACACGAGTTTTATCATATTCTCCCGGGAAATTTTCCTACCAATAGATCTGCTATCGAGATTATATTTTTTAATAATTGACAAGATTTTGCTATGGAAGAAAAAACAGTCATTGCAACAGAAGTGAAAAAGAATGAAGAAGTTGATAGTGAAGGGAATCCACTTTCTAAGAAGGCTCTCAAAAAGTTAGAAAAAGAGAGAGAGAAAGAACGAAAGAAAGCAGAGCGTGAAGCAAGGGAAGCGGCTGAGAAAGCCTCACGTGAGGCCACTGAAGTAATAAAAAAAGCTATCAATTTTATCATTTTATCGGAAATTATCTATTAAAGCTTCCTATATCCTTTAGAACTATGGTTCTGAAAACTATGGAAAATTGCCCATGAACCAATCACGGGAAAGGACCGGTAAGGACAGTATTTCGATCTAATGTGATATTCACATAAAACTAACAATTTGTTGTGTTTAGGTATTAAGAGAACTCGTATCGTTGATATCAATGCTACTCGTGATGGTGAAACTGTGACATTTCGGGCCCGTATCCATACTTCACGCAGTAATAGTGTGTAAAAATAAAAATTTTGATCATATTCATAATTATTTTAAATTGCTAACAATTAATCAAATTATAATAGGTGCGAAGCTTGCTTTTTTTGTTTTTAGGCAACAAGATGCCACGATTCAAGGAGTACTCGCTGTGGATGAAAAAAATATAAGCAAAACGTTTGTTAAATTTGCTGCTAGGTAAATATCAATGTTATTTTTGATCGAACATTTTGAATGATCTGGTTAAGCCAACAAATTATGTATACACGTGTAATTAGCGTTCCTGTCGAATCGATCGTTCTTGTTGAGGGCACTATCAGCAAACCAGCCGAGGAAATCAAAAGCACATCAATCTGTGATGCGGAATTACGCATCAAAAAAGTAAGAATATATTAGAACCTATACATATATAAACATATAGTCTATTTTATAGCCATTTCTCTTTTGATGTTAAGTTTTACGTAGAGTGTGAAATTAATGGACGACTTCCGTTTTCCTTGGAGGATGCCTCAAGATCTGAGGAGGAATTCAAAAAAGTAACATTTTTCGTTTATATTGATGGTTACAATATATGCAAGTTATCTAATTATTGTGATAACGTTTAGGATGATGTACAGTTCAGTCGGGTAACGCTAGAAACGCGGTTGAATCACCGCGTTGTTGACCTTAGAGTAAGCTAAATTAATAATTTGATTCGCAAATTGTATTCTTGCTAAGCTTACATAAAAAATCAAATTACTTTTTTAAATTTAGACTCAAACAAATCATGCAATTTTTCGAATTCAGTCCGGAGTTTGTCAATTGTTTCGTGAATATCTTTTGTCGAAATCTTTTATTGAGATACATACACCTAAATTATTAGGTGCTGCCAGTGAAGGCGGTGCTAATGTGTTTAAGGTTAGATATTTCAAAGGTAAGAATAACCAAATGTTTTATCGAACAAGACATGAGTAAATATTAATCTCGTTGTCATGTATAATTAATTTATAGGTGATGCATATTTGTCACAGTCTCCTCAATTGCATAAACAAATGTGTATATGTTCCGATTTTGAAAGAGTATTTGAAATAACCCCCGGTATGCAAATGAAATTTATTTAGGTGGTATAATTGATAATTGGTCAAAGTAACAATACTTTAAATCATTCCGATCTTACAGTTTTTCGTGCCGAGAACGCAAACACTCACCGACATATGACAGAATTTGTTGGACTTGATTTGGAAATGGCAATTGATGAACACTATCATGAAGTGCTTGATGTATTGGATGAACTTTTTGTTTTTATTTTTAACGGATTAAAATCTCGATTTTCCTCTGAAATCGAGACTGTGAAAAAACAGTATCCTTGTGCTGATTTTGAATTTCACCCTAAAACGCTAAGATTGGAATACAAGGATGCTGTCAAACTTTTAAGAGATAACGGTACCGAAATAGGGGATTTTGAAGATCTTAGGTATCGTATCTTTTGATGTTTTGAAATTCATAACTTTTTTTATTAACTTTATACCGTTTTGAAATTCGTATAGTACTGAGAAAGAAAAATTTCTTGGTAAACTAGTTAAAGAGAAATATCACACGGATTTTTATATGCTCGATAAATTTCCATTAGAAGTTCGACCATTTTATACTATGCCAGACCCAACCAATAACGTATGTTTCACTCATTATACAGCGCGTTTGTAAATTTTAACTAATACACATACGCATATATATATTATTAATAGAAATATTCAAATTCATACGACTTTTTCATGCGTGGGCAAGAAATTCTTTCTGGAGCGCAACGTATTCATGATCCAGTGTTTTTAGAAGAACGTGCCAAGGTGCACGGTGTTGACTTATCAACCATACAACCATACATTGACTCCTTCAAAAGAGGAGCTCCACCACATGCAGGAGGTGGTATCGGTAAGTGGTTATAAAATTCAAAGGTTATAATGTAAATTTTGCTTTTTTTTTTTTGATATTGCAATCGGTTAAATCAAATTTTTGATGAATCAATAGGCTTGGAGCGAGTAGTCATGTTTTTCTTAAACTTGGATGATATACGTAGAAGTTCACTATTCCCACGTGACCCAAAACGCCTCGAGCCATAAATTAATTTTTTTATCATGTAATCGAATTATTAATGTATTTGACTTTGATTGTAAATTAAAGTTCATTCAACCAAAAGATATTGAAATTATTTTCCTTTGTTTTATGATTATTGAAAAAAACTAATACAAATGAAAGTAATTATTAAACCCCATTTTGAATTTAACTCTATTAACATTTTCTCATCAATTAAAAAAAATATCCAATCAGAATAAAGAACCTTCTGGAGGTTGGGGTAATTTCTTATTAACCGGATTGGCCATTTCACTGTTAAATTATTATCGGTTTTCAATATTAAATGGTCCAGAAAAGCAATTCAGATACGTGATTAGTTAGTTAGATTACTGGAATTAAATACATTGATATTTATATAGATAATAACGATACACTACCGACGTAGTTCTAATAAGATGTCTTCTAAGCCATAAGAACTTTTCCACTGAGCCAAGCAACTTAACCTAGAAGGTTCGACCTGTTAAAAGAGTTATATTAATGATTCCTTCTATTTTTTTTTTTTTTTTTGGACACCTCGTAATACGATTTGACTCACTTTTCCTGTATGTTGATTAACGCATGGTAAATTAATACGTGAAATAAAATGGACAGTTGGTGGAGATTCGGGATAATTTTCGTCACAATAAAGTTTCAAGCTATAAATGCGATTCTCATGAATGGTCTTGATGACGGATCGGTAAACAAAAATCATAAGTTTAATTATTAAATACAAGATTAAGAAACAAATTTGATTGTAAAATTTATGGCTTACTCCGGCCGGTCCTATGATCGTGCCATTCCAATTACTCATATATATATCCTCGCCGTTTGAAAGACCGTAACTACAAGTACCATCTCCGAGCCCTTTTTCACCCTTTTCGAGTTCTTCAAGTAGTTTAAAATTGCGTGGAACTAAATAGAACAAGTGGTTAGTATAATGAACAATATGATAAAATTTTCTTCAAATAAACTAAATAAACTATTCGTTATTTTATCCTACTATCATTTGAAGTTATAACTCCGAACGCTTAAACGAAAAGTTTTAAAGTCGCTGCTTGCAACTTTTTGGTTGACTTGTTTCGTTCACATAAAATTCTCTTAAAAACTATGATATTATTCTTTATCCTTAATTAAAGAATCTAAAGGTACCTTTGGCCATTTGACAATATTAATAAATAAAAAACGAAGACGATTGGCGTTTCAAAGATTTGATAAGAAAATGTTCGGCTATTACGAATACCTCCTTTCGAATTCGTTAAATGCATATATCGAAGATCGACATCTGCAAATCACAATGAAATACGTTTTCCGGACAAATTCAAATAATACCCCCCACCCCTGTATTAGTAATCAAGTTACTTGTAAATCAGTGAAATCGACGCGTCGCGATAGATGATTTTGAGATTTTCTTGGCAATTGGACAATTGATTATTGCTGACCAATAAATGCTGACTAATAAAATTATTTTATCAAACTTGGGGTAAAATTTTATACTTTTAAATAATACCTAATGCGATTTAAAATATCTAAATTTTAGATACAAAAAAATTTTAGAAAGGAATGTTTTATGTTGAACAAAAAAATATATGTAGTAATAACTTTTTTCTAGACATATAATCTTAATATGAAGTCTTTTTGTAATTTGATTACCAAACACATTATACATAATATGGGACCTTTGCAAGCGAAAGGGGAAAACTGCCAGAAAAATCAATTTTACTTTTAACATTAACTCATTTTATATTTTTCCCGGCAGTTTTCCCTTTTCCATGTAAAGGTCAATAAAAATTTGTCTAATTTGAAATTTTAATTATTTTATACCTTTTTATTTTTTATATAATAAATAAGATGAGGAATAATTATTTTAAAAAATTTTAACAATTAATTTTAATTTTTTATTTTATTATATTTTAAATATATAATATAAAAATGAAAAGATCATTAGGAAAATAAAAATCAAAATTTTTTAATTTTAGTCAAAAGATCTTAGAATTTGATTATTTTTTTTTTTAAAATAAAAAACCTTTTTAAATTCTTAATATAAATTTTTTAAAAAAAAAACCTATTAAGACATTAATTAATAATATTTATTATGGATTTATAAAATAATTTAAATTTTAAAATTTTAAAAAAAAATAGTTTAAAATACATTTTTATTTATTACTTTTTAAATCTTGTTTCCAATTATTTTTATATTCAACACTTTACAATAAAAAGAAAAAATTTACCAAAAAATTTTTTTGAGTTAATGTTAAATCTGAATTTATTTTACTAAAAAAATAATATTTAATTTATAAAGTAAAAGAAAATTTATTGGTAATTTTATACTTTTTTACTGCAAAACATCTATTTTATCTTAATTTTTTAAATTTTTTTTTATTCTTTATTATTATTTAAAATTCTTTTATATAACTTAAATCATTAGTATAATATATAATACTATAATATTATAAATTATTTTTTAAAATATTATGATATTATATTATAATATTATTATAAAATTACTAGTAAACTATAATATTATAAATTAATTAGTCTGAAATATAGTAAACAATTATATTATACTATGTATATTAACTCAAAATATCTGAATTCCTTCTGTTCAAGAATTAAGTTGATGCTGATTAGCTTTTATAATTGCATAAAATTTTAAATAAATAAATACTTATGTGAATTTTTTTAATTAAAATCATTTGAATTTAACAATAATTTTTATTTTCTGGTAATATTATCTTTTAAAGCATATGTATATATTGATTATTAAACATTATAGAAAAATTAAAATATTTTAATATCTAGTGATTATAAAAAGATAAATAAAGTTTATTAGATTAGTCATATTAAAATCTATTTAATGATAGTATTTTAAAATTTTTAAAATTAATAATTATTAATATATATTAATTTTTTAATTTTTTAAAATAACTTTTTATCTAATAATTACAAGAAAATAAAATAAAAAATATAAAAAACTCTTTTTAATGATCACTTGATCAAAAATTTTATATAAAAAATATATATGTTTAAGAATAGTCACAGCTTAGCCTATGAACAAAAATAAAATTAACTTTACAAACTTCTTCCTTTCCTTTGTTTTTTCAAAATTTTCTTATTCTAAAAAACAGTTTTTATTAGTTCAAACAGTAGTGATTTTTTGTTAAAATATATTTTTCATCATTTTTTTAGCTAATTTTTTCAATTTTCTTCTTTTTCTTTTGCTTACAAAAGTGAGCATCAAGGAGTATTTCAAATAACGATCAGATCAATAATAACTTTGAATTAACCAATCATATATGATGATTTTTTCATTACCTTTCTAAATGAGTATATTCTTTTTGGATCTCTAACATCATAAAGCTTGCTGATATTAACAGGATTTTTGGTTTTTCATAACTATATAATTTGAGTTTTATACAATGTCTGCTAGCAGCTATAATCTGAATTGATAGACATCTTAACATAGAAGTTTGAGAGTACTGAAGAGCCTCTAACAGAACTTAATGATATGAATACTCCTGTATTAAGAGGTTGCTATAATTAGAAATTAATCAAACAACTTAGCTAAGAACTTATCAGAATCAGGTTTTTTTATTAACTTCTTTTTTGATAATTTGAGTTATTTGTTTTTGTATTGAATTTAAATTTAAAATAAAAATTATTATTAAGAAAAACAGAAAGATGTACAGTCAACTCTTATTATAACGAACTCTATATCCTAGACCTCAACTTCGCTATAAGGTTATAGTGAAGATTTTAAAAGATTTGATTGGTCAATTCGCTATAATAAGAGTATTTTTATTATATTTGTTTAAAAAATTTGTTATATCAAGAGTTCGCTATATCAAGAGTTAACTGTAGTAATAATCTAGTTGTTTTGTATTAATAGAAATTTTATTAATAATTATTTCTGAAATATTATAGGAAACCAGTTAGTCTAAAGCTAATAAGTTTTTTTAACTTACAAGATATTTTAGGCAGTTTAATTTATTTTTTTCTACTTTTGTACTTAATTTTTAGGATTTTCATATATTAACCTACTGGGTTTAAATTTTTATAATAAATATGAGTATTATTGCATCTTAAAAAAAATAATTACAAGAAAATAATTCAGTTTATTAGATTTATCTCATTAATATTATACAGAAAAAAACATGGATAATGATAATCTAAAGGATAATGTCAATCCCTAAAAAATCATATATGTCATATATGTCATCTATAGCATATATTTCTTTTATTTATTTTATTTTATTTATCTTATATATTTATTATATTTTATATATTTTATTTATTTTATTTATTTTTTTTATATCTTTGATAACTTTATATTTTTCATTTTATATAAATAGAAGACAATTTTTTTAGCTTAACAATGTGTTTAACTAATAGTTTTATATAATAGTTTAGTTTAATTTCTTTAATATAATTGTATAGTACAGAGTACTAATGAACACAGTATTCCATTGTTATAGTTATTAAATAAATTGTTAATTTACTGCCACTTTTTTAAATCTAATTATTAAATTAACCCTTCTGCTTACTACCCATAAATATTATTTTGCTTATCATTAATAAGCATCTTAAAAAACTGATTGTGATATTAAATCCTATTAAATGATTATATTTTTATATTTTTGAGATTAATAGATAATAAGATATATAAATTTAAAATTTTAACTTTTTTTTAATAATAATTTATCATATATTTATCTTTAAAATATCACTAATTAATTACTTTTTTTTGAATATTTACTTAGAAATATTATAATAAATATTAATTTTTTAATAAATTATTTTAAAATATTTAAAATTATTATAAATAATTTTTAATTATTAAATAAAAATTGCAGGCAAATTTACTTACAAAATATTTGAAGTGATAATATTAAGAATAAAAAATAAAAAATATTAAAGTTTATTAAAATAAATATAGTAAAAATATTTAATTTACTTATTAAAAAGAAAATTATTAATTTATATTAAAAATATCATATTTAATTTATAAAAT